AGGAATTTTAAATAGTTAATTTGATACGAATATCGATATATTTTTGTTATGCATAAACTATTGTATATTGATGCATATTACTTAAAATTCAAGATTACAAGTAATTACGCATAAGTACAACTTATTAAAGCTCGATGTTTGAATTCGTATAAATAACTGTGGATAAACATAATCAAATAGAGGATGAACATCTCATTTTAAAATATAAAAATCTAAAATATAATTAAAATAAATATCGAGTTCCAACAAAATAAATAATTATTATCTTTATAAAAAATTATATTATTAAACCAAATGTAAATTACTTTGTTATTGTACATAAATTAAATTATAAAAAAATCAAATTAAAAAATTACACAAAAAATAAGGAATTTCAAATAGTTAATTTGATATTAATATCGATATATTTTTGTCAACTTTTTATAATATCTTCAAACATATATTTTATTTCAAAAATAAAAAACATCATCGCTTTCTCAAAATCACATAAAACCATATTATAACATCGACTGAGATAAAGAATAAAATGAAATATTAAAATCACGATATATCTCGCTGCATTGCGCTACATTGCACGAGTACGCTTTTAGTAGGAAAAAACAATGTCATAAATATCACATAACCAAATCATAAATTAGAATTTTAAACATATTTAAAATGTTTTTTTATTGCAATATCTTTAATGTAATTATATGATTTCCTTATCATTATTTTTATCATAAAAAAACTTGAATTAAAAGATAAAAAATAGTATGTATTAAATAATATTCCTTTTGTCCCAAAATAAATATCCATAATTAAAAAAGGAAAAGTCTAAAAAAATCGAATGAACTTTAATGTTTGGAATGATTAAGTTATTGGACAATTTTTTTAAACAAATAAATCTTTGCACATTCCAAAACATGTTAAATAACTCATTGGATTTTCTAAAACATGTTAGATACATTCTTATGACCTATACAGCTGGTTAATATGGTAAAATAATGAAAAAAGTCTAAAAAATCCCCAATGAACATTCATATTTTTAACAATTAAGTCCCTAAACATTTTTTGAATCAAAAAGTATTTATATCTGTAAAATTAAACTCATATAAGAAAAAAAGTACTTACATTTACAAAAAAAGAATTACATTTAAAAAAGATTTTTGATAAAATTTATTTTAATTAAAAATAAAATATATCACATATGCGATTTTTCAAATTAAAAAAAAGATTTAAAAATTATTGGTAAAATTTATTTTAATTAAAAATAAAATTTATTTATTATTATTTTTTTAATTAAAATAAATTTCATCAGTAATCATTTTTAAACTTTTTTTATTTTTTTAATTTAAAAAATCATATACGGAATATATTTTATTTTTAATTAAAATAAATTTCATCAGTAATCATTTTTAAACTTTTTTTATTTTTTTAATTTAAAAAATTATATACGGAATATATTTTTTAATTAAAAATAAATATAATCAGTAATGCTTTTTAAATCTTTTTTTTATTTTTTTAATTTAAAAAATCACTGACATAATATCTTTTATTTTTAATTAAAATAAATTTCATCAATAATCTTTTTTAAATGTAAGTCTTTTTTTTTTGGGTATATTTGCTTTATTTTATATAATGTAAGTACTTTGTTTGTTCACAAAATGTTTAGGGAATTTATCGTTCAAAATATGTATGGTCATTGGTTTTTTTTTCATGTTTTTCCCATTATTTAATACGTTAATTAGTTTTATAGGTCATAAGAATGTATATAACAAGTTTTAGAAAGTCGAAGAAGTTGTTTAATAGATTTTGGAATGTCCAAGGACTTATTTGTTCCAAAAAATTGTCTAAAGACTTAATCAATCTAAATACTAAAGTCCATTGAGTTTTTTTAGACTTTTCCCATTAAAAAATCATAACAATCTAAAAATCTATAACTTACCCTTAACAGTACAATAATTATAGATTTTTAGATTATTATGATTTTTTAATTACAGATATTTATTTTGAGGCAAAAGGAATATTATTTAATACATACTATTTTTAATCTTTTAATTCAAGTTTTTTTACGATAAAAATAATGATAACGAAATTATATAATTATATTATAAAGACATTGCAATAAAAAAACATTTTAAAGATGTTTAAAAACTAATTTATGATTTGGTTATGTGATATTTATGGCATTGTTTTTGTACTGTTAAGAGCAAGTTACAGATTTGGTCCCTGTGGTTTTGTATTTTTTTGAAAATGGTCCATGAACTTCATTTATCTCATATTAGAATTCATTGTATGTTGTTTTGTAACGAATTGGTTCCTCTCTTTAATGGCCATCCAATTTCTCTGTTAACTTTGAGGCACTTTCGTTCTTTTCTATTTTTTGTCTTTACTTGAAGGACCAATTTTGTAAATCCCACACAAAACACAAGGACCAAGTGTGTAATTAAGTCTAAAAAGTAAAAAATATTTTTTATACATTGTTTATTAGATTAATTAATTATTAAGTTTAATTTTAATATACAACAAATATGATTAAATGGATAACAACATATTTTTTAAATTAAAAACCTCTCCCCCCACCTATTTTGTATTGGAAAAAAAGAGAAAATATAAACAAAAATCGAGCAAAATAAATTACACCAAAAAAAATCATATTTTTCACTAACTTGATATTCATATTGATATATTTTTTCATTCATTTTTTTTGCAGATTTGCAGGTTTTCATTTATTTTGTGTTGAGAGAGAGAGAGAAAGTTGATTTAAGAGGAAAACACTAAATAAATGAAAAATCGGAAAATTATAAAAAAATGAAAAAATAAATCAGTTTATATAATTTATTTCGCTTGATTTTTGTTTATATTTCATTTTTTTCGAATAAAAAATAAGGATAGTGAGATTTTTTTTTAATTTAAAAAATATTGTTATAAATGTCTACTTAATTTCACCCGTTGAATCAATTAATTTGATGGTGGATGGAAGTAGTGTCTCCTGAACGGTTGAACCTAACTATATATAGCTATATATATGTGTGTGCGCGTGTGTGTGAACATGTGTGCATATACGCACATAATACATTATTTTGAAAAAGAAGTTATATATTAAATTAATATTTGTTTTTTATTTTTTAGACTTAATTATGGATTTAATCCCTGTAGTTTGTTTGGTCTTTACGAAATTGTTCCCTCGAGTAAAGAGAAAAAAGAAAAATGACGAAAATGCGCTCAAGGTTAATGGAGGAAATAGATGGCTGTTAGAGGAAGTGACCAATTTGTTACAAAACGACATACAAAGAGTTCTAATCTGTAATAAATGAAGTTTATGGACCATTTTTGTATATACCACAAAACCACAGGGACCAATTTCGTAAATTACTCTACTTTAAATCAACCATAGGGACATTTTTACTCTTGACAATAAACAGCATAATAAATTTTTCCGCCTTATAATTAAAGATACAATTAAAAAATAGATACTTATTTTAAAACAAATTTAGCCCGGAATCACCGCATTTAAACCTCCGTGGCCACAAAGAGATTTTTATTCCTCCTTAGATTTGAACTTGGGACCTCCTAGTCCTTTCAACTTTTGGAGTCAAGCTCAAACCAATCAGATACCACCCTTGTGATTAACGCCGCCTTGGTAATCATAAGCAACCGAACCAATTTAAGCATAACAGACTACAAATGGCTTAGAGTCATCGTAAAGGGCTTCTACAACGTCTGAATTCGAATTTAGAAAAGATAAGGATTTCCACTACATGAACTTTAACCAGGACATTAAGCCACATCAAAAAAGGTCCAACTGGAGAAAAAAAATATTATTTGGGGGCGACAACATAACATTATGTTTGTTTAGAAGCAGGAGCTTTCTTTGCAGCCTCTGCAGCAGCTTTCTCTGCTTCAATCTCTGCAACAATGGCATCGATCTCGGCTTCCTCAAGTTGCCGGAGTCCCTCCTTTGTCATCACAGCAACTTCAATGTTCTTTCCCCCACTCTCAACGACCTGCGTTTATTGCCATAATTAAAACAGACATTAATCAAAAGTCCAAAACCATTGATTTCATGTGAGAAAGATGATATATACGTATTAACAAAGAATCTGATCCTTTCATCTTGTGATTCTTGAAATGCAAATGTACCCAATCAATGTGGTTATCATGAAATGGACACCTACTTTCTTGATTACTACTCCCTCTATCCCAAACAAAAAAACCCATATTTCTATTTTTGCGTGTCCCAAAAAAACCCAACTTGGTACTTTCAGGTAGTGTTTGGTACGCAGACAGAACAGAACAAGACTAATTGTTTGTCCTATGTCTGGTATGACTAGGACATGACATGACAAGACTGTTAAAATGATTATATTACCCCTAAATGTTGTTCAATGTTATTTTATATCATATAATGATTGTAAATGACAATAAATCAATCAAAAATATATTTAAATTATTTAATCTATGATATCAATACTTTTTTTTTAACATTCCAATACCACATGTAAATAACATTTGTCATACCATAAATTTTAAATACGCACATAATTTAAAAAGTTTAAACACAACAATTGTAAATAACATTTGTCACGCCATCGTCTAAAGTTTAACATTTCAAGAATGGAGGCTGGAATCGAGAATGGAGGTTGTGGAAGAGAAGAAAGATGATGCAATTAAATTAGGTTTGTATTTTGATATCAAATAATAAGGGCAATATTGTAATCTCAAATTTAATCTCATGTTGTTCTACCTTTTTTGGTGGAACAAAAAAACTCAAGAATAGTCCCACCCAATCTTACTTTTGTCCCATGTTGTCCCATCTCATTTTCGTCCCATGGCACACCAAACATGAGACTATTTATTTTTATCCCATCCCATCCAGTCTGCATACCAAACGCACCCTCAATGTATAATGAAAGACATAGGTTTGAGCCTTCAGGTGCAATCATTTCTTGATGTCAACCACGCCATATGGAGACTTAGGGGTCGTTTACCAAGCACTTACCAGGTAAGTGTTTACCAAACGCTTATCGGGTTTTACTTCCCTTACCGGGTGAGCATAGCAAGGTTTGAGAATCTTACCCGGTAAGAGGCATAACAAAGACCAAGAATCTTACCTAGTATATGAGGGAGAAGACTCTTACCTGATAAGCGCTTACCGTGTACTAACAATCCATTTTGATGGCTTAGAATGTTACCCAATTAGATAAGTAAGGGTGGTGACTCTAGATGATAAGCGTAAACAGACATGTAGATTTCATTGATGTCTTAGGTGTTTAATTTGGGATAAATGGGAATGTATGGTTCTCAAATTGATACAAGTAGCTTAATACCAGCTGCAGGATGGAAATCCATTAATGTTGTAAGAAAGTTCTCACCATAAGAATGCTTAGATGGTGTTTCTGATGGATGAAAAACTACTGAGAATATTGAAGTTTGGCTTAACATCATGTAACAAGTAGCAACAGAGATCCACCAAGATACAAAATAAATGGCAAGATAAGATATCGATACTTACTTCAAGCAAAGCACGAATGGCAAGTTTGATAGTTTCTTGTCCAGAGGTTTCTTTGTAGTTCTTTTCCAAAAATTCCCTCATGGAATTGGAGTTTCTACCGGTGGCATTAGCTTTCCAAGCAGAGAATGTGCCTGAAGGATCTGTCTGATATAGTGATGGAACACCAGTATAAGGATCAAACCCTACAATTAAAGTTGAAAGCCCAAATGGCCTAACACCACCACTTTGTGTGTATTTCTGTTGAAGACCTGCAATGTATCGTGTGATATACTCTACAGTCACCGGATCCTCAACAGTAAGTCTATGACTCTGGCACTCAATCCGCGCCCTGTTTATAAGAACACGGGCGTCTGCTTTTAGTCCAGCGCAAGCCAGTGCAATGTGATCATCCAGGCTTACAATCTTCCTAACTGATCTGCAAGCAAATGCACAACAAAAGTTTTCAGAAAATAAGGAACTATAGTTTGGATATTATGAGAAAAATAACACCGAAAATTGCAAAGATGGCAGTGTTTCACTAGAGTTAGTTAAAAGATAGTGATTAGGACTTAATCTCAACAAGGTTATCAAAGCTGTTCATAGTTGGATACCTATAATTTATCTAAAAACATTTGAGGTCATGCAATAAACAGTAAGCACAGAAAACACTTCTGGACATGGTGCAAGACAAAGAAAATTATGCCAAGAGAATTTTTTGTTGAAAATAAAGCTCTTAACGTAACTTTTCAACTTATTTTAGCATAAGCTCTCCTCCCTTACATTACCTATGGCAAAAAGGTAAGTCACCATGTGCTGATGGATATGTTTAGCCCAGAACAAACCTTTTAGCCAAGCATTCTAAAACTGAGACCATACAGTAAAAACAGAAGATTCAATTTATATACTACAAGCCATGATTTCTACCAAAATGGATGTCAATGATTCTAATACATAATCTACGGTAAGTACACTCTTTATCAGTTTATCTTACATAAAACTCATAGGATCCATCGGCGTTTTATACCAACTAATTTTGTTCCATTCAATTCTAACAGATGACGTAACCTTCAGGTCCAATTTCACAGCGGAAACAAAATCCCCGTGCTAGATATGTCAATATTATGCTTGAAAGGCTGTTACTTTCTAAACTACTCGAACGCAATTAGGGCTTGAGAATTACGATCATGTCGGCTAGTATCGCATCAAGATCAGCAAATATGATTTGAAAATAAGGAACACGAACAAATTGCAGCTAAAACCTGCGATCCACAGTCAAATTAGACGTAAATACACATAATTCTACCAAATATAATGAAAAAGTCATAACGATCATCCACGATCAATACAATCGTCAATGCACATACCACATACCGCATACCGCATACAGCATACAGCATACAGCTAGGTTTTTCCAGACTTCAATAGATTTCAACAACTAAGATTGTGTTCACGCGGCCGTGTACCTGGAGTCCTGAAGCTTGACAGTGGACTTCTTCTCGACGCCTAATACAATGGTATCGGTGCCACGAACACCAACGGCGGCGTTACCCTTACGGACGGCTTCAAGGGCGTATTCAACTTGGAAGAGATGGCCGTCTGGAGAGAACACCGTTATAGCTCTGTCATATCTCGCCATTGACGATCAGATTCAATGAGATTTCTAGGTATTGTGTTTGAATTCGGACTTCTGATTTGCAATTTGATCTTCGTCTCTGAAATTGGAGAGCTATTTGGGGTACTGAAGGATCCTTCTGCCTTCTCGAACAAGACAACCCCACCAAAACAAAAGTAATTAGAAAGTTACAAAATACCCCCCTAACGTTTGGTTAATTGTAAGATCGATCCCATCTTGTTTCACCTATTTTGGTGGAACAAAAAAAAAAAACCTCTTTTGTCCCCCCTTGTCTCAGTTCTTCTCCTTGTCTCATGTTACTCCAAACGTGGGACAGTGAATTCTTGTTCTGTCCCATGCTACGTCAAACATGAAACAATGGTTTTTGTCCTGTCCTGTCACATGTACCAAACACAACCTTAAGGAATGAAGAAATCCATGGTTGAGAGAATGTTTGGATTCAATTACATTTCATGGGTAAACTAAATGTCGGAATGAAATTTTGTCAACGAAATTGACCATTCCAATTCCATTGGATTTCGTCGGAATCCGACGAACCAAACGCTCCTTAAGAGGTGGTAATACTCTTCTAATAATTCATCTAACAAATATCGTCGGTTGTACTTGAGTTTTGTAACATCTTCTTTTGCCAAATTATTTACCGTATTGTTCTTGTGAAACAAGTGACAATTTAACTAGGTGATTTGATTAATATTACTGAAAATTATACAACTGTGCGTATGTCTTTGAAAACTGAAACTAGTTGACTGATTTTATTATCCAAATATCTAATTGAAAATGTGCAAATTACTGTCTAAATATCGCCCCAAATATGTTTGTAACAAACCCCTTATGTTTGAAAATGACAATGTAGCCCTTGAAATATTAGAATTATTCAGAGTAAATTCAAGCAACTAAGGGTGTTCATCGGTTGAAATCTAATGGATTTAGGTGGATCCGATCCGATCCAATCATCTACTAGATGTTGGATTTTGTCATCTGATTAACATTGGACGTCCGATCCGATCCAAATCCAATGGATGATTGGATTAGATCGATTTCATCCATTGGATGTTACTATTGGTTATCCAACGAATCAGATTAGATTTCTCCAATCTTCTGATATAATACTCAACCAATTAATCCACCATTTTGATCAGTTATTCATATATTTTCTTAAGTTATTAAAAAAACAATGTATATAAATATCAACTAAAAAACAATATCGTAAAATGTTAATAATTATATATATTTATTATTTGATATTAGTTGGATGGTTATTGGATTGGATCAATTCGGTTTTATTGGATGTTGGACTGTCATTCAAGAACCGACCAATCCGATTTGGATGTTGAAATTTTGGATCCAATCCGATTCAATAACAATTAGATATCCGATTATAGTCGGTCATTTCTAATTGGATCATATGACTTTCTGCACAACTCTACAAACAACTACAAAGTTTTTAGAAATGACAGTTTTAGCCCATGTGATAAAATAAGATTATTTTAAATAGATCACTTTTAGGTCCTAACTATAGATTTAACCACAAATGGCCCTTGAAATAAATAATTTTTCACAATGATCACATTTGTATGAACTTTTGTTAACTTAAAATTATTTCCGTCACAAGTTATGTACTTGTATGATGCGAGATATAAAATTTAAGATCAATGCAGTTCTTCATTAAGAAGGAGAATCTGATATTTATGTTTGAATAAAAATGGCTAAATGTGTTAAATCGTTCTCCTATTTTCTTCGAAACACGAGCTTTAAAGGAGAAAATCTACTATGTGAAAAATGATTACAATTACACATTAATCTCTCAAGCCATCTTCCAATTAAACACACATCCCCAAATAACTCACGTTTCCACGCCTTAAAGTGCATTTGATTGCAGTATTTTGAAACCAAAGCAATGGACTCCTTCTGTAGGTATAAAACCAACTTCACCTTTGTAACATCTCATATCAACCGTACTAGATATTGTCTATTTTATCCACACTTAGATTCACGGTTTTAAAATGTGTCTGATAGATGAGGTATCAAGTCCTCTTATAAGACAACCTTTGTTCCCATTCCCACCCGATATGGGATCTTCCCTTAGGGAGCCAAACGTCCTTGCTGGTACACTAGTCTCGTTCCCGACTCTAATACCATATGTGTCATCCCAGGTCAACCATATCACTTATTGTCCACTTTATCCACACCCAACTCATAATTTTGAAACTGTCTGATAGATGAGGTATCAAGTCCGTTATAAGGCAACATTTATCCCTCTCCCTAACGGATGTGGATCTTACAACCCTGTCTCCTTCCATTATTTCAGGACGTGCTTTTAGCAACAACAACAAAATCTCAACAAACCATACCTCTTAATATATTAGTGATTTGTACTTAATGTTTCACATGTGTTTTAGTCTTAGAATTTATGAGTTTTAAATTTTCTTACCTAAATACCTATTTTATTTTCATATACAGCCATAAATAACGGATTAATAAATGAACAAGGTATGAAACATACATGGTTAATATGACTTTAACAAGTTATTTTATAAATAATTGGTCTCACCTATTGAAATTGATGATGATTTTGAACCGATCCTCTCGTGTATAAACATTTAATAGAATAGGTTCCTTTTTAGTTATGTTTGGATACAGATATGTAATGTTATTTGATTGCTTTTGGAGATTATGATCATGTCTTTTATGAGAAAAGACCAACGCAACGTTTTTGTTTTGATATTTACCATTCAAGTACACCTGGTACAAGCCTAAAGCCTTTGGCAAATGAAAGACTACCCGAAGTAAGGATAGAAGGACGTTGAAGTGTTCAGCAATTTAACTATCCGTTTGAAGACCATCAGTGTTTCCTAAACAACCGATTTGGAGAAGACTTGTATCGTTCAGTATCCGTATCACCATCTGTCACGAACCCTTGTATCCCTATATTCTTTTATCGTTCATACTCTAAGCAAAAGTACATTGGTATAGTCTTGAGTCAATATCTGAGTACATGCTAAATTTGCCATCTCAAAGATGGTCAAGTCAAGGCTAATCAACACATCATAAGTTGTAAAGTGTCCCAAGATGGTGACATGCATTTCATACATGGGGATGGGATCATATAAACGACACAATGCATTTCCCTTGCAGACCAACCTTATTTTATGGAATATTCTTAATGCGTTCTAATGGGCAAATTGGCTACTCAATAGCAAAAAAGAGATTTGTGTTCACATTTCATTCTTCCCCCATACATCAGAATGAATCAAATCAAACGCTTCATTGGAAATGTTATTCATCGATACGAATGGTAACCATTTTTGTTCAGCCAAAGGACAAACCATACGTAGATTATTGCTACTACGGTAGTTACTAGTAGGAAACAACTTTGGTTCGAGAATATCTAAAAAATCTTGTGAGGGATGTCCAAATCTTCGATGCCATATGTCCACAAAAACATGTGCAACAACGATTTCACGTTTCTGCCAATTCTGAACGTGTAGAACATAGAGGCCTTGAACTTGCTCAACATTGCTAATCATTTGTCTTGTAAAAATGAACCTTGTAACTTTCTTTTGAAGTGAGTTCTGCTACTGAAATAAGGTTGAGATTGAACTGCGGAACGTATAAAACATCGTCAAGAATAAATATGTTATTTATCATAACAGATTCAGTACCATAAACAAGTATAATCGTGCCATTTGACAATTTAACTTTTGATCCTTGAATATCATGAATCTTTTTTAACATACTAACATCACAACAGATATGTTTGGATGCTCTTGAATCAAGAATCCAAGAGCAAGAAATAATATTATCAGTGTTAATAGACAAGGCATGACACATACCTGCTGATTGTGTGTTTTATTGCACATTTTGATCAGGAGATCTTGAGTCGTATCAATGCTACATAATCGGTTAGAGCAGGCACACATGAGTTGCTCACATTCACCTACTTTATTTTTCATCGAAGGAGCTATCATCATAGATTTACTCCATGACGAATAAATTTCTCCAGTTAACGACTAAAAGACTAACACTAATCCAGTGTTATCAAAATGATAAAGAAAAAATGAATCGTTGTTAGACGTTGGAGAATAAATTGGAACGTAATTCGTTACGATTGAAGAAGAGACTGGATTTGCCATTGTTGGAATAAGAGAAAATTGCATAACAGAGTGTGTGATTGGAAGCGTTTAACGCTCTGATACCATATTAGTGTTGAAAGAATATGAACAGAGATGAAGAGAGATGATTTCTCATTGATTGAGTGAATTAAAGATACCGCAACGACCTATTTCTATATGAATATTACAACTACTAACAAGGGATAATAACTACGCTTAACAGAGACTAAACAAACTTCTTATTACAAAAGACTAAAGTGCCCTTAGTTTAATATTCCGCAAACAATCTATAATTCATTGATTTATTATCAATTAAAATTAATTTTGATTGTTATTAAGATTGTTGAGTTTTGAACTATGATTTAAAAAAAAACAAACTTGTGGACTAGACCTGCATATCGAGTATAAGTTAGGGACCAATTTTGTAATAAACTCTTAAAATTCGACGTATAAAACCAGCTTTAAAATGGGAGGTGGAGCCCTGGTGGAGGCTTCGAATACCCGCCGAGAGAAACGCTAAAGCTGTTAAATAAGTAACCGTAAAAGGATAGACCTCCCGTCGCCGTCGATCGGCAGCCGGAAAACATATAATTGGAGCTGCAATCACTACCTTCAAGTGAAAACCAGGTTCTATGGACTATCCTATGTGCGAATCATATGTTTCGGGTGATTCTGATATTCGAAATCCTGGAACTTGAGCTTGAAGCTGCTGCTGTAATGTTTGCTAGTTTGTGTGAGCATTTCAACTTCTGTTTTACATGATACAGTCAAATTTATGCATTGTTAGTTCTTTGTTTTTTTGTGCGAATGTTAAAACTAGTAGATCAATAATGGCACATTAGCAGTTTGGAGTATTGTCAATATGAAAATTTGAAATTTGTCAACACACCTTAAGTTGATTGATAAACACTCAATTCCCCCTCCACCCCAAAAAAAAAAGGATATACTAATTTTGAATTTTGAGGTCAAATGAGGGGATTTTCAACTTCAAAGTTGGTACAAGCTACAAAGTCCATAAAATTTGGGTAAGATGTTGGTAGCTGCATTGGATTTAATTATAAACCATATAAATGTAACAGTACACATAACAGCTCTGCATTTCGTATCAGCATGCAGTCATCAGCTACTGCAAGATTTTACGCATTAGGAGTCTATGGCTATTGCTTGGTTACCAAAAACGGAAATAAACATGCATTGTCATGTTTATGTGAAAGTTATCCCCTTGTATTATGCCATGTACAATCTATAGGCCAACTGAGCTATTGTTGGCTGTCAAATACGCACCGGTTGTTTTCTGCTTCTTGTGGTTATGTCCTACACTTAGTTAATGACAAAATGGTGGAAACCATAAGCTTGCAGTCTATTGGCTTTGTTAGATATGCATCCATTCCCACTTCCAAGCATTTGGCTTCATCTGATGGCATGGCATGTGCAGTCAGTGCAACAATGGGAATGTGTGATTCTGATTCCATTTCTGCTCTTCGAATTGCTTTAGTTGCTTCATAACCATCCATCTTTGGCATCTGGTATGTCAAATAGATGAAACAAGTCAGAAATTATCAAATGTGTCTCAATGCATTATGCATAAATCATGGTCTCAAAATTATTTCATTTGATTCATGAACCAAACGGTATGGATCGAACTAGAGGGCCAATATCCTGTCTGATTGGACATCTTATCAATGAATTCCCCAGTCTTGATCTATGATTGTATAAATACTTCAATATTATTATTGGGTTGCAAAAAGTTGGTTTATTGGTGTCAAGTGCTGGCTTTCTTGTTCTCCTGTGGTGACAACCTTTGGTTTAGTTTAGGATTCACAGTTGGAAAAACTTGTGATCAGCCCTTAAAGGAAAGACAAAGACGGATAAAAAGAAAAAGAGATGTTAGAAATGATATCCTTACCTGACAGTCCATGAGTACCAAGTCGTATGGTGGACAGTCAAGAGCTTTTTTACACTTCTCTACTTCATGCAGAATATTGAGAGCTTCCACTGCCTGCACCCCATCTCCCACAACCATGACCATAGCACCCATCTGCTCAAGCATTATAGTGGCCACTCTCTGGAGTATTGGTGTGTCTTCCGCCAACAAAATGTGTAGGCCTGTAAGAGACTTTTGTCCATACGTGCCTGTCTCTGCATGATGAATGCCTTCCTCCTTAGAAGTAGTGCCTTTCATTTCTTCCCTGCAGTCTGAGTTATCATTTGGAAAGAATGTCAATGGAGCCGCCTCATTTGTGCTCAACTTGATCTGCTCTGAACAGACTTCAGTTACCTCAGGGAAGCAATTGCTAACAGCTCCATAGAGAGTGAAATTTTCTTGATTTGTTTCTTCGATCCGAGAACTGCCGATTGAGTTAATTTCTGATTTTTCAGAATTGTTTGAACTCTTTGTGCCTGAGTGTATGGGATAAATTTGAAGACAATCATGTGCATCAGTCCCCAGAATAATTTTCTTTGGCTGCTCAGGACTGCTTTCTTTTATAACAGCTTCAATTAACTGAATCATTTTTGCCTTGTATAATGGTCCATTTACCATCATCAGATGCCCTCGTCTTCGAAGCTCAATCTTGATGATATTAGAGGTATCATGGTTTAGAATCCAAGCAAACTTTGCTCCCCTATTGAATGTATCTAGGAAATTGAGCTGCTCCTTCCATATGTCTGTGCTCAAGTTAAGCAGTGCGATATCAATGACTATGATGAACACCGACTCCTCTACCTCTTCCATGCTTAATGTTTCAACTTTTGGATGCTCACACATCAAGTTTTGGGCATAACTTGTGGGTTTAAAGAGCTCCTGAAGTATGTGTGTCAGTTCATTCCACTCGTACGCCTCCCAGATGGGCACTCCAAGTTTAAGTAGCCACTGTGAAAGAATTGCTCTACCCATTCTTCCATTGAGTGCAAGCACTACCTGTGTTCAAATTTCAATTAAAAACCATCCCCTTTAAAGCTCAAACTCTTAAGCTGAATTTAGTTATGTTAGGCTACATAATTTTTCCTGAAACTAATGATTCTACAATTTTTTAGTTTTAGCAGGTTTGCTTATATATATATATATATATATATATATATATATTCTTGGTAGGTCTGTATATTGAATATGTATCAAACTAAAGTGAAAATTCGGTGTGATCTTTAGAGGTTCTCATTGTCAATTTGTTTTTTTGTTTAATTTTTGCTTTTCTCATAACATTTTATGTGGATCAGTTTAAAATTTAAATAGCGAAGGAGTAAGCACTCTGCTACTGTGCTTGTGGATCGGTTTAAAATTCAAATAACGAAGGAGTAAGCACTCTCCTACTGTACTTGTGGAGGTGGTAGTACAAGGAAAAAACTATGCTCACCTTCAAGTTATGTTCTGCAAATTTAGATTGGCAGCTTTCTCTTGGTAGATCTGCAGGTGTGCTGAGTAAAAGATATAGTTGCATTAGAGTCCCTGATCCGTTCTTCTTGACGACTCTGATTTCTCCACCCATCTTGTTAACCTGTTAATAGATTTTGTGAGACAGTATTTTTTTAAAATTTTAACCGAAGACAAGACAGGTTGCAAACTTGCAATATGTATTCACTGCTTAGAAGGGTCATATCGTTTACCAGGGTTCGAACAATGCATAACCCAAGACCAGTTCCTCCATGCCTGAAATCATAAAATATTTTTAAGGAATTTGTCTTAGGACTCTCGGTTCAAAAAATGTGGTTCGTTTACTAAAGGTGTATTTAGTTGCTTACAGTCTAGTTGTTGATGGGTCTGCTTGTTCAAAGCTTTCAAATACCGACTCCCATTTGCTTGGATCAATTCCTATATGGCGAGAAAGATAAAAGAGAAGGAAAGATATCATCCCCTTTGTGGCCGATGAAAAGAAATGCACAAGGAAACTAAAATATTCTTTAAGGTCCTGTGGGTTAGTAAGAATCAAGGTTCATACCACATCCAGTATCATCAACTTCAAAAAAAAGAATCATTGTGTTGTCGTTTTTGCAGGCTCTTTTCTCGTGGAGTCTCTGTCGCTTTATCTTTTTCTGGTATGCAGACCATAAAGCTTTCTGATCGATGAAGAAGTTCCCATTATTACTGAACGAATTCAGATTTTCGCACCATGCTCGTAGGATAATGTGTCCTGCTGTAAATCAATCACTAACATTAATCTCGGCGGCTAACTTTGTAGTTTAAACCTAGCTTTTGCGATCATATTGATTTTCATGTGATTGTTCTTAATTACCGCATGAACTTATGCCACTGATCCTTTAGGTAGCGTTTGGTACGCAGACTAGATGGGATAGGACTGGATGACTAATTGTCTGTTCTACCTTTGGTACGACTAAACAGGACTGGACCAATTGACTATTTTCCATTTGGTAAGCTGGACAAGATGGGACAAAACTGTTAAAATGACCAGATTACCCCTAACATGAGTTTTAATGTTTTTTTTACTGTAAAGTAATTATAAAGGTACATATTCTCAAGTCCAGTACAGCCTTTGTCCCTTGAAAGTTGTAGTAATTTTTATCTTCAGATGCAAACCAAGAGTTAGTTCAAACATTATTATTAATATGTTGGTAGAGTCAATCATTGCAATTTTATGGACAGGGGATTACTATTCTTGACAGTGTATGAACTCTTGGAGTTCCTGACCCATATGAATGACGATGTTCTAACAATATTTGTTCGACCTGCAGCTTGAAACAAATTATCCTGGGAAAATTGCACTTACATGTAGTAAACTTGATTGAGTTGCTGATTAGATTTGCAAATATTTGAACAACTCTTCCGGAGTCTCCTCGAACTACTTTCGGCATATCATCTAATGACATTAAAAAACAACAAAACATATTATTAATCATTAACTTGACCTGTGATTTGGGAATGCAGGTCCCAAACCTAATTATTATGCATGAGCTCATCTTTCATATTCCCATTTAGGATTAGATTTGATGATACTTCATGCTGTTATATTAATTGTTACCAGAGAGGTCTATGATGGTTTCCACATTGTGGTTCTTGCACTGCACAGAAAACATATCGACAAGTCCTTCAAGTTCTCGCCCCAAATCGAACTCAGCTTCTTCCAGCACCAGTTTTCCAGATTCAACCTGTAATTCATGATATTGTCAACTAAAATTTCTCCTTAGGTTTCACGATACTTCTGTTTATTTTAGTCAAGTATTTGACCTTTTTGTTGTATCGAACTGTAGCAGTTTGCTACTTTAGGAAAAATATGATATAAACTAGTTTTGCTGCATTTCTTTGGTTATATTTCTTAATTTGCATAGCTAAAAAATTGAGGTAATTTTACCTTGCTAATATCCAAAATATTGTTGAGAAGCCTGAGGAGAGCTGTTGAGCATCTACGAATTTGAGTGATTGTTGCATATTGCTCGTTGGTGATACAGTCATCACATAGAAGAATGTCCAGCAATCCTATGACGGCAGCCATTGGCGTTCTCAGTTCATGACTGTTTCAAATAGAAGCATTCATATATACATCTCTTTCTTCAGACAACTGAAAGAATGAAAATACAAAGATTGTAATACTAACCTCATGTTGGCTAAAAATTGGCTTTTGAAATTGCTTGATGCCTCTGCCTTCCTTCGGGCATCTAAATGGCTAATTAGTTCTGCCCTTAGATTCATTTCCTTCGACACTCCATTTGTTAATATGAAAATACAAATACAACCCACAACTAGTATACATACAGATGCAGATATCAATATCACCAATGTCTTAAATGCCCTCTCATCCACCTTGCCCATTATGTATTTCCTTGGAATACAAAGAACTCCCACCTGTAGAAAATCTCTTTGGTAAGAATCGTTTTTTAAGAGAGGGGCGGGGGTTATTGTATTCATAGTGAAACATACCATAGGAAGTCTTGTTAAGTTCAAGAAAAACGAATCTACGTAATAACGCTGGTGGCCAAGCCTGGCGGTAGCTGTGACGTGCAGTGGAGGCTTTTCACCGTAGGCTTTATGCAACCACTTAGCTCCGGATTGTATGATCTCATCTTGAGAATCTACTGCCATCACGAGTGTAGGCCCAGTCGATGAATTTCTTAGCAATGGTGTACTGGAGGAAGTAGCAAGCAACCACCCCTCTTGAGATGTCAAATAAATATGTCCACCATGGAGCTCAACTAGTTCTTTCATAAGTTGACCTACGCTATATAGCGCAGTAGTAACTCCCACCACGGCCACTATACTTCCTCGGTCCTGATCCCAAACCGGCAAAGCAGCTGACAGCAAAGGTGAGTTTGTGAACTTGCTCACAGCTACATGCCAAGAAGCTGCACCATCAGGTACCTGGGAAATCCCTGCAATATTCATCAATTCGTCCGGTGGGATGGCCTTCTGTTTCCCCATCTTTCTGCCAGTGTCAGGATCCAGTGGTTCTCGGTACCAAATTGCTGATACATTACCATGTATTGTCTGATCATTCCACCCTTTATGAGGTAAAGTCTGGTTCATATCATAAGGTTCAACCATCGTGTAATTGACCAGATTGGAGTATATGTAATATGTACTTTTGTCTCTAAGGTCTCGATGGAAGGCCTGAACAAACCCATTTCTGTATTTTATCGACATTGAATTCAGAGCTTTGTGGCTCGCAAAAAGCGCCCACGTGACATCCCTCATAACTTCATACAACTGATAGATTTAGAAATAAACATTAGCTTGTAAGTTACTTAGAAAATCAAACATGAAATTCTACTGATACAAAAACAAACCTCTACTTGCTGTGCTTGGTTTTCAGCTTTGCTATATTTTTTTATCACATACTCCGAAAGCTTAACTTGGGATGTCGTTATTTCAACAGTTGAATTCAAGATTTTCCACATACGCAATATGGGACGCTGCAAAAGTTGGTGCCGAAGACCATATGCCAAAGAGTTCAATGATGTTCTCGTGTAAACTTTGGTGAAATGCCAGGTGAGTAGTGTTAGTAGACCTATAAGAATTGCCAGCATCACCTGCATAAACAAAAGCAAAAAATGATATTCTTAAATTACGCCAAAAACGAGCATCTCTCTTTGCAAGTTACAAAGGAAAATGCTCGCTTATGTTGGGACATACTGAAATATAAGCTTTTGGATTCTTGATGTTTTCTTTTGTTACCATGATAGCAAGACGCGCAACACAAACACTGTAGCATCGGAATTCTTCTGAATTGACATCTCTACTCAAACTTCTTCTGCAAGGTGAGTGGTTTCTTCTTGATGAATTTACAGTTGCAGAAATTTTATCAAAAAGCTTCCTTAGAACTGATGCCATTCGTGTTGTTCAAACTAATGAAACATTAAGTGGTAATGTAGCTGGTTTAGTGTTCTTTATGTGCCATTTTATTATGCCAAAGTAAAAAAATAAGACCTTTTTCTAGTCTTAACACGCTTCTCACATCTAGCCGCCCACCTATAAGTATTACACGTCGACATCAGTGGGCTGATGTGGTCATTTGTTTTTGTCCTGCAATCAGCATGCATGTTTACTTGATTAGGCCATCAAATCTTTATATATTTATAAACCTTTTATAAGATATTCAAAAGGGTCTCACATATTCTAACAGTTTCTACTTAAAACTGACATTACAACTGGTAATGTAACTAAATACCATATCTATACGTACTTTAGATCAAGCCGTTTATGGTCAAATGATATCAATCAAGTTTATCCTACTGCTAGGTTTTGAGTTCAGACCTCTTTATATGTTTACTTACTTTAGACCACTAGTAGTTTGTTAGCTCTTTTTAAAAGATATTAGAAACGGTTCCACATATTCTAATAGTTTCAATTTATAACTGACATTACAACTAGCAATGTAATTCAATGCCATATATACGTACTTTAGGTCAATCGGTTTAGGGTCGAATGATATCTATCAAGTTTTCCCGGACTCCTAAATTGTGAGTTCGAATCTCTTCAAGACATGTGTAAGTTTTTTTTATTTTAAATAATATGTATACTTACTTTAGACCACTAGGAGTTTGTTTGCTTGTATTATTTGGAAGGCACCATCAAATTGTTTAATCGAGTAGTGGGGCATGTGGTTTTCTTTCTAGTCACTTATCAGTCATAAGTCATACTTCCTTAGTTTGGACATGCCTTTTTTGCACTTCATGGGTATGGGTGGTTGAGAATTCGATATTTAATGGATATCATTTATATGGTATTATAAAGTGTCATTTATTTGTTACGAAAAAAAAGATAGACCCATAAATAAACAATAGAAAGGAATGAAATTGTTAGTGACAATTGACTAAAAGGTTCATAATATCGTTATTAATGATAATTACTAAAACGAGCATAAGCTTTTAAAGTATTTTTGAACCAAACTCGGTTTAAGAATTCACGAGTTGGTTCCTATCGGGTCGATACTAATTAAAATATGTTATTGAAACGAGAATTAACAAATGCGTCTTTTCCTTTTTCTTTGGTAGGCCCTTTATGCGAACAAAATCGTTCGAATCTATAGAAGGTACGATTTTTACCTTTGATGTACAAATCATTATCACATGATTATTTTGAAGGTAAAAGTGTCTGCAACCTTTTTTGCTTTCTTCCAAGTCCCGAAAGTTCATTGGTGCCTTGTTTGAAAACAAAGCAAAATATACTAGTTTATAAGATTTTACGTATATTGTTTGAATTATATAGTTCTGATATCGCTCTCACCTTTAGAGTAGCTTCTTAGAGAAACCTAATTAAAGGGTGATGGAGATCATCATTCATAAAGAAAGAATCTTCAGAGGATTAGTGATTCCACCACTAAGTATTTTTATATTCAGTGTGTTTATCTCTATCCTAATATCCACTTGATTTTGATTAATTAATCTCCAAACTTTTTAACCCCAGTTGATTAAGAATATGAAACTATATCATATATGATCATTACTTCATCATTTGATTTGCTTGGTGCTTTGCAACTTCTTTTTTATTCTAGAGATGATCATAGGTCAAAATATGTCTATGCGAACAGTATCGGGTATATCCCACTCAAAAATAAGGTCTGAGAGGAAAGATGTACAAAAATTTGTTTACATGAACTTGTATGTGAAAATAGTGATGAATAGCTAGTGAAAACATGACCTGTCACTACACAAAATTGATTTTATAGGACGCATAAAATGTCTAAGCGTCATAATAAAGTATTTTATAGAACTTAAGTTTATAGGACCAAACCAAATAGCATCCTATTTAAAGGAGTTGCAATAGATTTATAGGACTCTTTTAGGCGTTTTAACAAGTTTGTTAGGACGTTTTTAAAATAAAGTGTCGTACTAGCTATTGTATATGATACTATTTGAAAAAGTGTCATAAAAAGAAGAGTATATAGGACACTTATCAAAAGTGTCTTATAAAAATAGTTAATAGGACACTTTATTTTAAAGGCGTCCTAAAAAAGTTTGTTAGGATGCCTAAAAGTATTTTATAAACTTATTGTAACGCTTTTAGATATGATTGTTTTATAGTTTGGTCCTATAAGCTTATATTTTATAAAGTATTCTATTATAACGTTGACATTCTAGATGTCCTATAAAGCCAATTTGGTTGTAATGTGTGGTCGTTGCTCCCTGGATGGCTTTATTTTGGGCTTTCCGGAGACGAACTGAAATTGCTTAACTGAAGTCTGTAGTCCTTGCCTGCTACATGGTTAATTGGTCCTGGTCCAGACCCATTTTCGGGTAAAAAAATCCATAACTTGTCATAAACGGTACCGGTCATTTGGGCTCGTCCACTTAACCAGTCTTTGTTCTTTTGAACTATTTTTTGTATTTATATATTAACTACTCGTAACACTATTTGTAGCTAATAATTTTTCTGTAAATTATTAGAAGTTCAAAACTAAGTTTAATCTTTCAACTCTTTTTCGGGGATATCTTTTGGGTAAGCCCGGTCTATGACCGATTTGTAATATTATCTTCTTAAACGGTGCGTTTACCCAATCTTATCCGATCCTAAATCATCCCCCTCTTGAACTGGATTCGGTTTGGTTATAACCGGTTCTTGACCGGACCAATCCCTCAGGACCAGTTAAGAATGTTCATCTTGAAGGAGGTGAAGTTTAGATGCTCCAAAAATATATAGTAAGCACCAAATGATTGTCTCGTTATTAACTTTTGATTGATCACTTTAAAAATACATATAAAAAGCACCCTAAAGGACTTATAACAGCACATAATCTATTTATTACTCGTTTGTAACTTGTTTATGTGATACCGAAAGTGAAGTTTTTTCACGTTTTGATAAAGAATTATTCGTTCCTTTTAAAAGTTACTTCAGATGAATCAAATTTGTAATATGAAAGTCCTAATCTCCATAGGTCCAAGCTCAACAACAAGAGCTGAAGGGTCAAGACGCCCACCTCTAATAGGTGCTGATTCGCTCCCACTTCCGCCTTCAACCTTCCATGGCATCCTCTTTATCACCGACTTATCTTGGTTTGCTGATAAGCTTGTTTCTGTTATTGTCTTGATCTGTACAAAAATGTAACTCGATATGGTTAGTGAGAAATTTCGGTAATTCTAAAACCATTGGAATAGCGGCATACCGTCTTTGCACCAAACATCTTCTTCAATTCGACTTGGACCAAGGTTGAAAAGTCAGCATCTTCACCAGCCTAACCACATTCATAACATGTAATAAGTAGATTTTGAAAAACCGGATCATAGAGACGAAATAGCGATGCAAAAGAATGGATGTTAGCCACAAGAGAAATATTAGTGACACTGATGGCGTCGCAAAAGATAGGACCATTGCCTACGCACAAACGGATTTGGTGTCACGAGTAGCATTAGTGACGGAAATCGAAGTTTTAGCGACGCCTTTTATGTCACAAATGTTGAGTTAAAAGAAGATGTTACCTCATATAGATGGGCTAACCGAAGGAGCGCACTTCCGCCCTCCAATTCCTATTAAAACGAAAGTCAAAGAGAGCCATGCTTGCGAATGTTGTATAACGCTACTCATATTACCTGAAGCGTAATTAATGCGATGTTTGGGGGTAAAGTATAGTTTGGATCCATTGTTGTTGATCTCATCGAGTGAGAAGCTTTCCAATTGTCTTGTTTCTGTCGAGTAAATGGGTGTGAGGTATGATATCGGGAGAAACTATCACTTGAAATAGTACTGTTGGATTTAGGACAGTATGCTTGCACAAACTATTTCACTTGAATAGGAAACGGGCCTAGAGGCCCAACCGGAGGTGGCAAAAAGCCCAACCGGAGGACCAACTGACACCGAGGAGAAAAAGGAGCCATGGACCGTCGTAGCTAGATCATACCTCATGTGTAAAAGCTAAGAGGAGGGATGAATAGATCTCTTGGCCCGTTGTTCGGCGCCACCGTGATCCGCTACCAACGTGGTTGGCGCTCATGTAATAAGTTCCTCGAACCTGAACCATATTGTATACAAGGTTACAGCACTCATTTAGTCTCGTCTAGTTTTCATTTCTGGGTCCCATCTCCAGAAAAAAACAGGTGAACAAAAGTATCAATGTTTTATGGTACCATACCGCAAGTCCTTGACATGTGGTCTTCGTACACACAGTTTCATCAAGGGCTTCACCCACGCCTCTACCGTCATCAAAGAGCATACGCCTTTAGGAAAAATAAGAAAGATTTAGTCACATTTATATGCCCGTATAAGAAGTCCACAAAAGAGACTTGATCTGAGGACACGCAAGAGTGTACCGATGGAACATGATCTCCATTTGTCCATCGTTGATGCTGGCTCCACCGGTGGCGCGATCAACAAGCACCGATAGTTCAGTTTTGTTGTCCGTTGTGAACATTCCAAGATTGAGCTGCAAACAACAGATTTTAGAAGATATTTTTAGTATCGTATAAGCAGAGACATACGTAAAAACTAAAGGTCGAGAGTTACTGGATAATAATTCCCGGCAACAGGTTGTGTGACTTTAAGAGGCCAGTCTTCTCTATAATCTCGTACCTGATAATAAATCAAGAATTATCGAATCAGTAAAAAGTTCATATTGGCTTGCAGGAACCTTCCTTCTCTCTATAAGGACTCTTTTAGAGAGAATTGAAGGGGGTTCCTTATATCCTAACAGTAATTCCTCGATGATAGTGAGGTTGACTGTAGAAAATATAGAAAAACGTATAATGTGTTTTACCCTTTTGAGGAAGTCCCTTCCATTAGAATCTGTATACAACACCTTGTTGGTGGCCATATCAGCTGTAATTCTAGTAATAACTTCTTTTCCAACACCATCATCCGTAGGAATCGGACCAATCTAGAATCGAGACTTTTTGTTAGAATCAGTGTTCTGGGGTTATGATCTTTTTCATACTTGCCAACGGATTCTAAGTTTTCATTGCAAAACTAGCATTTGTTAACAATCATTCTAGAGATATTCTTGTGAAACTTAAATGTAAAACAGATGGGGAATGAATGCTTACGATGAACTCAAATTCAGCGTGCTCCTTGTCTTTGTAAAGTCTAGTCACCTGAAAACAAATTGAGGCAGGAAATTGAAATGAAGGACAAAGACAGTGAACACCAAGGTCAGATTCTAAAGAAATTATCTAGAATGGCCCGTTGAATTGGGGTTCGGATCTGCTTTTATCATGGATTTTTCAGAGCATGTGGAAACCGAGTGTAAAATATCAAAAAGAATGTTCCTCAAACGTATTTTAGATTCATCTTGATACTGAGAATGAGTCCTACTTAAGTCAAGGTGGGACCTAAAACCTTCTTTTTCGAAAGAGACCTAGAATCTTCTAGTACCTAGAATTTTCCTCTGTTCCTAGTTCCAGAATCTTCTTGCACCTAGAATCCTATTCTAGAATGATTTTGATACTTAGAATGAGTCCTACATAAGTCGTGATGGGATCTAGAATCTTCTTGGTATTTAGAATGAGTCCTACTTAAGTTATGCTGGGATGTAGAACCTTCTTGTACCTAGAAATTTCTAATTTCAACCCTCTGGGGTAGCTTAACTGGTAAGGTCTTCGGTTTGCTTTGCAGTGGTCACCAGTCCAAATCCCCTCAGGGAGGCTAGAGGTTTGTCTGACTGATAACTTACTAGCCTCGTGGGCTGGCCCGCACACCCATGGTTATCCAAAATTCCTGTTTCCTAGTTCTAATGTTGAAATTTTTCTTGAGAAAGAGGAAATTTATATAAAGCGGAGGTCCCCCATCTTTAAGGCATCGTCCATTGCTTCAAGAAAACCATTCATGAAATTCTAGAACACAAAACCCTTTTTTATGAATTCTTATGTGTTCTTCCCCTCCTGCTCGTTAGCAAGCAACTTGGATTGAGTTAGCCCATCATGGCAACCAAGTTAGGTGTTATGGTTGCAACTTCCAAGAACACTTTAATGGCCGTTTACTCAAAAAATTGGGTATGCGCCGACTGGGTAAGATGTCCTGACAGGGTAACAACCCCTGGCTCTATGGTTTCCTTATGTAGAATCAAGATTCTGACCTGATAGATCCATGGGCTGAATTGCTGGTGAACTTCATCAACAAGTGGTCCACGAATGACTTTAATTGGTACCTGAAAATGAAGTAATTTACGGAAGTGATTGTAATTTATATCACTTAACAAAAATGCCGGCCTAAGGTTTATTTAACAAAACTAAGTTTAGGAGGTGAAGAATACTTACTGATCTTGAAACAATGACTGGGGCTGATCCATCGGGGTGGAAAATGTATGCTCCAGAAGGCTATTAGAAAATATGCAAATGACATATGAGGATGTATCATCTCTGTTTCTCATTTCCATTTTATGGGCCCATTTCTGTCTTGCAAGGGGTATAACCCACCCTCAAGAGCGCCCCCGGCCATCATGGGGGAAATCATGGTGTCCCAAAGGCAGGTGATGGTGCCAGGATTCGAACCTGATACCTGACTTATGGATTCCCACCTCCTTACCCTTCCAGCATGGAATTGGAACCAATAAATGAATATCAGGAATGGGCAAAATAAATGGATCCTAAATTATCGTACCTGGTTACCGGATCCACTACCATACCAGAGATAGCTTTGTTGTATCGGTAAATCAATCTAGAAAATGAAGGAAATTAGTTAGAGAAGCTTTGAAGGTTGATTAGTCAAAACCAAAACAAGAATGTGGACTAGAAGGTATATAGTTGTACTCCCTCCTTCCCAAAATGATTGGTTTGATAAAAGCGTTGGTCAAATGCATAAATTCCTTTCTATAATGATGCTTTTTTTTTGGGGGGGGGGGGGTCTTTGTGGGCCAAAACTTATGCTTTCTAAGTCATTATTTAAGTAATCGTGAGTGTCCTGGCCAGATTACATGCACGTTGACTAATCCCTTGGACCCCAAAGTTACAACCTTCTGGTGGACCTCTAGGGAGCAAATTCAAGGTCTTACTAGTTGATTACTTGTAAGGTCCAATTGACTTTGTGCCTAAAAGTGGAACTTACCCCTGTTCTAGAATTGATGATTCTTTTTAGTTGTCCAGATTGTAAAGAAAAAGACATCTTCAAGCTTCCTGGTCCAATTTCAATAGAATCGTTCTGTGGAGTGTCTACCACAGATATAAATCCTGCTGAATTAGGCAAATTAAAGTAGATCTTAGATCAAAATCTCTCCCATCCATACTCATAAGATAAAGGAAAGATCACAAAATTATTTAGATTATATTTCCATCTATTTCAAGAAAGATAACATCAAGAGAAGCATCAGTAAACCAAACCAAACCAAACGAACCCATATTTAATATCCCACCAGAAAGTAGGGTCTGGATGTGGGTGGGATGCACACACGCTTGTCCTCTACCCAAAGGATAAAACAATTGATTTCGTGAAGACCCTGGCTTGTGAAAAATTGTGCATCAAGCAACACATAATTAAGCTTCACAAGTGGCCTTTGGAGACACCATGTATCAATTTGTTGACTGCTTAAAAAAAGTTACAGAAGCTTAGCGAATAATCATTATAGACACTGTTAGAGTCTCACATCGGCTAAACTTGGAAAATTTCTTCTCAACGTATGTTAAAACCTCCCTTCTCTCCTCAAGAGCTATGTTAGAGAGTAATCTGATGGGATTCCACATATTCTCATAGACACAAAAGCGAGAGAATTATGGCGTGATCATTAAAAGTACCTTTTCCAGTTGTTTTAGTGATGAAGTAAGTGTTCCAACCCAATGGTGGCACAGATGCTTGAAACAAGAGCCAGTACTTTGGAACTTCTGTGGGTGAAATTCCCAAATAAGCCTCTGCATAGAAGCTTCTTAAATTGCTTGTTATGTTATCAAATTCTATGAATTGTGCTTTAATCGTATTTCCCTTGTCATCTTGGACAACCAAATTAGCATCTTTCACCTGTTAAAACCATATGCAAAAGATGACAGTGAGTGAAAAATGAGCAAAAATGCAGGATAAAACGAACAGATTCTTGTTGAGGTCGTTTTAGGAAAGTACATTTGCCGAATGGGGTTTTCTTATATGATCAAAATACACTCACCGGTATCCTGACAACATCTGTGCGACTCCATCCAAGAGGGTTGTATGCAACAACAACCTGAAAAAGAACCAACCCGTGTTTCACAAAAGGAGAAGTCTTGTAATTGAATTACCGCAGATATCTAATTGTTATATTGGAAAACTGGAAGCTTTACCAAACTCTTTCCAGAAGGAATGTTCTCTGTTGGTGGGCAAAAGCTTATATTGAGCAAGGGACACTGTCACAGAGGAAAGAACCGTCAAGGCTCGATTATATAAGAAATCCAATATAAAATTAGAACAATAAAACTAGTCACATAGACGATTTGATTTGATAGGAGAGTACAATCTAAAAACTTTGTTTGACAAAATTTGTCTTTAATACTGCACTTTTCTCTTCTAGAAGTCAGGTAGATGTTAGCCGCTCTATCATTTGGGGTAGATGACGGTCTGCATACATTTGACCCCCAGACCCTAAGTTCGAGTGGGAATATTGGGTTCGTTGGTTTGATTTCGTTTGCAAGTTTGAAGCATCACCTGGCTAAATGTCGATCTGGGTATGGTGCAATTGATCTTGCTTGATGTAGAACTGGTTAGGCACCATAAAGCCGAATTGACAACAGCTTCGGCCTATTGACAATTAAAGATCATCAATCAATATAAATGAAGCATAATTACATGTAAACTTTTGAGTCAAAGATCAATTAAAGTTCTACCTCGACAGCTCCAATTGCTAAGCGTTTTTCATAGTCCCTTGTTGTATGTTGTTTAGCAGTACCAGTTACGGCATCATGGTGTTGTGCGATTCCTAAAGCATCTCCAAGACTGAATGTGTTGGGGCCTCTGGTTCGCCTTCCTGCCAGGTACTCTAGCTGCCTTGCTGCCTAATTGATGGACATAAAAGAAGTTTCAGAAAGACGTAATTCTTTTCGTTCAAATCTTTGGACATTTCTAATGCCCATACTTCCATTTCTACGAAGATATCTAGTTTTCAGATAGTATTCATGGAAACAGCCTCTCTACCCCTTGGGATAGAGGAATGGTCTGCGGACATTTTACCTTCTGCATACCCTGCTTTTGTGGGATTTGTTGGGTGGGTTTTGTTTGGTTTTTAGATAGTATTCACATGGGTTTTACATTAAATTATACTGTAAACAAAATCCATAAAGCATACATATATAATAAAAAAAGGTTAGTTCATAAACATTCCAGAACTTGGGAGTCAACTATTTAATGTATTATTCATGATGAATAACCTTGAATGATCATGAGTATCATGCATCATGCATTTTGATTATATATAGTGCATTTTAGTTATGAATAATTTTCATCATGAATAGAACATGAGTAGTTGGTTACCAGATTCTCAATATATTTACAGTTGTCGTTTGAACCCTGCACCTTTAATACAATTGGTTCGATTTGTATCTTACCAAATAGTATCCACTCAACGAACGTATATATCCTTTCAAGGCTGGACGGCTTGTAAAGTAACCTGTCCAGTAAGCATCTCCATCGTCTGCATATCTACACACAAGAAAAAAAGCATCTTAACGAACGGTAATAGCTTCAGAGGCAGTTGTGATAGCTTCAAGAACGATCTACAAGAAGCTCACGGGAAATAGTCATCAGTTTTGAGCGGCCAAGACACATTTGAAGCAAGTTTTGCATCGGTATATATAGACGGAGTGGAATATAATGCATTCACTCGACCATCCTGCGGTCAATCACAGTCTTGAATACATTTCAATGGAGCTAACGTAAAAATTGCATATACAAATTTATAAAGAAAGTTCATTTAAGAATTATAAATATTTTGAAAACCGAGGAACCAAATATTCATAATGAATATACATAAATATTCGTTATGATTTTCATGGTTCTCAAAGTATTTACGGTTCTTTTGCTCCTAAAACTGTAAACAGGCTGTCATCAAACTATACCCTGTTAACATGGTGAATTAGCTTGTCCATCTGCTTGAACCAAGACTCGGCATATTGGTATTGGAAGTCGTCTCCCATCGTCCACATGATGTGGTTCGTTCTTGTGACGTTTGCCTGTTCATTGTATTTCGAAAAAAACATCATTTTGTGGCTACTAAACAAACAAAGTTTCGTCTTTAGGAAAATAACAGAGCGGGTTGGATATTCAGGTTAATAAAAAAAAAAAAAGCGGTCATTGTTCTTGTAAAAATGCAAAGAGAGGCTACATTTTATAAGTTCGATTACACTTTTCACAAATCACAACTCGGGATAGAGATGCAGAAAAAAGCCCAAGTCCGAAAAAGCCAGGGCCTAACAAGCCCGAGCCTAGGCCCATGCCAGGCCTTAAAGCCCGATCGGGCCAGCTTTATGTTCAAGGTTCGATTGAAGCCTGGCCGAAAATGCCCAATTGGGCCTATTCTCACACCCAAAACCCAGGCTTTTTTTAATGAAAACGGGCTCCAAACTTTGTGCATTCTTAGCTGGGGTATTCGCGGAAATAGTATAGTATTTGAAAGCTCGAACTTTATTAAAGTCGAGTTATTGTCCGAGTAATTTCTTTTGAACTATTTACGTAAACCAAATAAAACATCAAAATCAAGTTTACAATTTGTTTACAAAATTTTGTATATTGATTTTTGGGTAACAAAAAAGTCGCCAAACGAGAAGTAACTCGTAATTACGATAGTTTGGAAAGTTAATCACTTGAAAATAAACGAAAACACTTACTTGAGTCAATGCAGCATCGATGAAATCATTAACTCGTTTCTTTACATTCATGTCAAAGAGAAGAGGATCGTCCTACATTTCAGTAACCACGAAATAAGATCGTTTTAGAACAAGAATACGAAAAATACATACTAAAAAGACGTTTTCGTGTTATTGCTAGCGACTGAACCTGAACGGGCTCAAAGTCTCCCCTAACTTCAAAATTGAAGCCATCCGGAGCACTGTAGTGACGAGGAAACACGTTGGTAAATATCTGAGACGACGAACCAAAGGTTTTGGAGCCACGCCATACGACTTCAAGACTTTTATCGCCCTTCCGCTTTGCTCTATCTTGATAATCAATCCGTGCAAAATGCAATGAATCGAACCCGAGCTGAATTTAGATCACAACCAAATAAAAATTACATTCTAGTAACTCATTATTGTGGGCGTCCAGGCCAGTTTGAAGTTAACAGCCACGTAAACGTCTGATGGCCCTACAGTGCATTTGGTATGCAGGACAAGATAAAACCAGGACAAGATAAAAACTTGTTGTCTCACGTTTGGTGGGAATTAAGACAGGGATAGGACAAGACTGAGTGAGTGAGACAAAAATGTCTTTTTTCTGTCCCACCAAAATAGGTGGAACATAAATCAGATATTGAACAAGATTGGTAAATTACTAAAATACCCATACGGCCATATAAAGTTAAAACCCTAAAATCTTACACATTTTTTTCACCACCCGCCTGTCTCACTCTTGTCTGCCATGTCCCATCCAATGGAAGGCACCCAGAGGAGACTTGACCGGTAACCATGGGGGAGCAAAACCAAGGTCTTTACAGTTGAGCTACCAATTTCAGTAACTCGTTGATTTAGCAAAATACGAAATACGTGAATCTAGAATTACCTCCGCTCCTAAAAGATAAGCTTGAACTGCGGAATGCCCGAATGGATCAATCTGCCATCCAGCACTAGGGGTTATGTTAAAATTGCTCTTTATTAAGTCATGGCCCAAAGTCGTTTGATCGATCATGTCTACGTAATGCGTAGCCGCTTCGTCATGCATACACCAGCCTCCGTTTCTGATCGAACAAATACTCTAAACGTTAGTTTCATTGCAAGACGAACGTTGCCATGACTCAAACATACCGCTTTCTGGTCTCTAACAATTAGTAATTAGATTTATAGAACCGGTTCAAATGAGAATGACAAATAATATGAGAATATGAGCATACGAAGAAAAAACCGAACGAAAACGTATTAACGATATGAAAGTCAAATTAAAAAAAATAAAATGCTTCTTATTTTTGTATAATTTATCTGTCTCCAAATTTAATCATATTTTTTTTTAAAACAATACGGGGTAATCTTTTGAGTTCTAAAAAGATTCATCTGATGGTTGAGATCTATTCTCACATTCTCAACTTTTGAACTATTCTTATTTGAATTTTCCTATAAGGAAATAAGGACATAATCAAATGAGAACCACTAATCATGTATTGTTTCATATTGTGAAACAATACATGTGATTGTACAGTGTTACTTCCCAATATAAAAAAAAATACTAAAAATAGATATTAAAAATAATCACATTATGAAAAAACACTGTATTTTAATCTGCATTATTTCACAATATAAAACAAATACATAAAAATTAGTTTTCACGGTTCTTAACTTTTTTTAACTTAAAATAAAAAGAAAAGAGTGCATAGATTGCATACACAAATTCTAATTGGCCAGCAGAAACAAGCTTTTTCACAGCAGCTTGGATATCTGGACTCTGCAATTCCCACCATCTATGGAAAAATGCCTGTTTTCAGTAGTTAAATATATCAGAAACAACAATCAGAATTTTGAAGTTTTTAGTATTTGTGTAACAAATGCTTATCCGGGTAAGTGTTTACCAAGTCACGTTACTTCATGGGATGAATATGGTAAGGACCAAGAATCTTACCCGATAAGAGCGAGACAAGGACCAAGAGTCTTACCCGGCAAGTAAGAGCGACGACGCTTACCACGGTAAGCGCTTACCGTGTAAATTGTTATATACGAATAATTCTATCACATAAACTAAAATCAATACCATCTCAGCAAATATGAACTTTCTATTCGGATCGCGAAGCAGCGACATGACAACCGAATCCAGCACATTTTCAACACAAGCACCCTGTAAACAACACATTCAAGTTCAAGTAAAATCATACATTAAACCACCATATATACATACATATATATATATATGTATATGTATGTATGTGATAAAGAATAATGAACCTGTATACTGTTATTTGATCCAACAAAGTACTGATCAACTGTCTTCAACCAACCCACATCATCATGTGAATGTGGAACCAGATGAACATTCAATTTCCCTTCAACAATGCCAACTCCAGTTTCATACCCACAAATCAATCCACAAGAAACAGCAACACAAACTACAAACACCCATGAAAATTTGGGAAATTTTAACAAAACCGACATCATTTCCCCCAAATTTAAAGAACCCTAATTGCTTTACATGTATGATCTACCCAATTCCATTAACTATACGTTGTATATATACATATATAATGCAATATATATAGGGTAATGCCAAATGAAACTGCCTTTTTGCCATTAATTTAGTGGGGGGCAACCAACATTGGTTTTCCCTCGGCCGGCGGATTCACTAGAAGTTTGGATAGAAAAAACAACAAACAGATAAGGTAAAAGCAGGAGATTTGTATTCATTGTGAATATTTTTATCTGTTTTTGTATTCATTGTGAATATTTGACCAATGTTTGATCTTCTCAATATTTTGTCACATGGGGTTTCTGTATGTGTGTATGTGTGTTTTTTTTAGGGGTGGTTAAGAGGGAAATTGGTGGGGAAAATTCACATGTGAAGGTAAAAGCACTTCAATTATTTTCAAGAAAAGTCTACATCTTTATTGTATGATTGTGACTTTTCTCGTCTTTAATGTAATGTAAATATAAAGCTTATATTAATTGTATTATTAAAATATTAATTCATATTATTAAATACTATAACAAACTTGTAATATTTAGGGGTCGTTTACCTAAATATTTATCCAGTAAAATTCAACATTATCATTTACTTATCGGGTAAGATTTTATTCACTAAAGCGTGTCGTATGCAACAATTTATCCCGGTAAGCGCTAATCATTGTAAGAGTCATTGTCCTCACTTACCCGATAAGACTCTCGATTCTTGTTGTCACTCTTACCGGGTAAGATTTTTAGTCATTGTCATATTCATTTGGTAAAGCAAAGTGACTTGGTAACTGCTTACCCAGGTAAGCGTTTGGTAAACGACATCTTAATAGACAGAATAATAATAATAATAATATGTCTCATTATTAGTATTTAGTTTTAACGAATTCTTTTACATCTACATATTTTTAGAAAATTTTACCATTTTTACGTTTACACAAATTAAGATCAACTTCTGGTTTTATATAAAAAAAAAAGCTTATTTTGTACAGCCATCTCTCGAGTGTGATGTCTTGGTGGCATCTTGTTGTTAACAATGATTTTTGTTTTTTAAGAGAATATTATTAAAAATTGGCTTACAAATTATCTATAAATTAATTATATTGGTGTTTAAATTTTGGATTTGTTTCTTAAAATAAACTCTTTATATTATTTTTTAATTTTTTTTAATTTCATAACACTTAAGGTTACTGAAATTAACACCGTCAATTAGCAATCGTTAGAAAGAAAAAATCAATCTTTGAAGAAATTACAGAAACAAAAATTGTAATTCACGCTAAAATTAATTGTGATTTATATATATATTATATTATAAAGCATTTGACAAAAACTCTTAAAAAC